TTGTGATGTTTGCTGTTTATTCAGTGGAACTGTAGTCCCTTACAGTTTACTGAAGTGCTTTACTACATATTCACTGTGCTGGTCTGTCACATACACATACTCTCTCCTGAATATTTCCTGGAAATTCACTGTACTGGTTAGTCACTTTGACAGATATTCACTGGCATGTTCATCACTCAACTAGTCAGTTTCTTTCCTGAATGATTACTGACTTGACTCTACTGGGTCTTCAACATAACTGTTCAACACTAAGCCAGTGTTTGTCTTCAATGGTTATTGTACAAGTTCCCTGTAATTACTAGTCAATCTCTGTCCTGGATATTCAATGTACTCGATGTTTATAGTAATTGTTAATTACTAAGCTAATCATTGTCTTGATGAGAGCAGGGGGTGTTGGGGTACCAGCTGGCTGAGAGCAAGAGTTGGGGTATCAGGCTACCGAATTATTTGTGGGAGAACTTCAAGTCAAGAGGGAGAACAGAAGCCCCAACATCGGAGCTCTCTCCCAGTCGGACACCAGGAGCCCTGACGCCCTCATCCTCCCCCATCGGCTCCATCTCTCCGGTCGTCTCGTCTGGACGTCGGGCTCCAGGATCTCAGGGAAGGTTCCCTCCTCCCAGCCCGGCTCAGGCCTGAGGAGTCTGGAAGATCTGGGAGAAGCCAACAGGAAGAAACTCCTCCTGGACCTCGACTCTGGGAGGAGCCCAGCGCCTGGACCCCCTGCAGAGACTCGGGCTGACCAGGAGGAGGAGCCTGGCGCCTGGACACCCAGGGGTGTTGGAACAAAGAGGAGGAGGAGGAGCCCAGTTGTGCCACAACAATGAAGAGGAGCCCAGGGGTGTCAGAACCTCTGAAGGGGGAGAGAGAGCCTGTGGACAACACACCTGTGTTTCTCCAGGACGGGTCTCCAGAACAGCAGCTCTGGACCGGAGCAGTCGGGACTCGGTGGAGCACAGGCTGCCTTCAGGCATGTTTATTCCCACCAGACACAGCTCCTGCAGGAGGAACCTGACCCTGCAGGCAGGGAGAGGTCAGGGAGGCTGTGGGACAGGTGGGGAGGGACTGGGAATGTGGGAGC